GATGATGATGATGAACAAGCTATCAAGCAATTCAAAAAAGGCATCATTATGCAGAATGGGAGATACCAAGTACGATGGCCGTGGAAGGATTCATTACAAAAGCTGAGCAATAACTACGGGATGTGTTTGGGACGTTTAAAAAATCTAGTCAAACGTCTCCAATTCAAAGCAATTCTTCCTCTATACGACGAAACAATAAGGACCCAGCTGAAGAACGAAATAATCGAAGAAGTAGATTCAAACGATGAAGTTGGGTTCAATACAGAAATCACTATAGATTCTAAAGAAATTGAACAAATGGCTAATTTCGCAGGATTTGTCGTATATGATGCTGTCACGGGAGCCTCAGGAACATTAAGCAAAGCAGGCTTGGCACCTCGAGTTGATTATTTGGGGGAGTTACTCAAGAAACCAACAATTGAGATCAAGTCTTATTGTGACAATCCAGAGGGTTTCGAACTTGCCCGATCCATCTTGAGTGGAAATATTCCTCCCACAACGGAGTCTGAACTAGCAACTGCCTACATAGCAAAAGTCATGGAATCTGTCACCGGAACAGTCGAGGAAGATTGGAAGTCCTACTCCGTGGTCATTGGATATAAAGGAGAGAAGATCACACCCTTGTCTTTGTTGGATGTCAAAAAGGTTGAAGGAGAAATTAAAGGTCAGAGAGTTGATACAATGGAGCAGGTGAACGAATTGGCTGTTGCTGCTAAAGCTTTAATGGTTTATCGGATGGCCCATGCTCCCGTAAATCAGACAGGTTACAAGACTGAGTTAGGTCGTAGACTAGGGGAGGTCTTCATGATGCCACCATTCAATCTTGAAGCAACTGCAGGGGTTATGAATGTACCACACTGGATCCAAGATCCAAATTATTGCATGCTGGTAGCAGCTGTAGACATGTTTTTTCGCAAATTTACCAATCACAAACTTGAAAAACTCCGGGCATGCACGTTGGGAAGTTTTATGAAAGACTGTGTAATGTTAACATCTCTCAATCAAGCTTCCCAGGCCTTGGGATTAAAACCAGCCATTCTGGTTCAGTACATCTACAGCCCGCAGGTTGCAGATGATGTCCGTAGAATCATTGGTGGACCACCCACAGAAGAGAAAAATGAAGATTTTAGCTACTTCTAATATATGAGAGAAATGAACTTGCTCCCACGATCGCCCAGACTTGAATTATTATC